TCGAGTCAGTGAAGGCGCGTCCCCAAGGATGCGCCTTCCACACGTGGCATCCAACTCAGCGAAAACACGGGTAAAGCGCGTCCCCGGGGACGCGCCTTTCGCCAGCTCAACAGAAAGGGTGCTACTTCGGGAAATATTGGTCAAACGGTGTCAGAAAGGGGATATTAGAGAAAATTAGTGTTAGTTATGTCAAATAGCTTTATTTTTCTACATGAATCATTAATCAATGCTATTAAAGTTGACTTAACCACGTGTAAAGGATGAAAATTTGCATTAACTTATTGGTTGCTATTAATTTTCTGTTTAATCCCTAAATCCTCTGTCACGCTTAGAGATGATACGAGTTGAGTCGGATTAGATTTGATTCGATTTTGATTTAGTAAAAATTAACTTAAATTTTGTGATAAAATTTCACACCTCCCGAATTTAAATTTTAAAAGAATAAACATGAATCTATAAGATTATGTCAGAATTTGTCACACATCCCGTTCTCATATCTATGCTTAATTATGCTACAATAATCTATGATTAAATTGCTTAACTAATCACTATAATGCAAGTTTTGAAGCGAATTGGTCCATTTACTACAAACAAATTAACCTTTGTACATTTAGTTTCAAATTAAAATGTAGCACTAGTATGTTGAGAAGTTGAATAAGAAGAAATGAATAGCATATGGTTTTATTATTCCTTATTTGTAACTACAACACAACTAGCTTATATAGTAGTCATGACTTCAAGCTTACTCAATCTCACAACTACCTATAAAAACATCTATAACAAACTTCATACGTCACTATTCTTAACAACCATAACAACTCTCTCACACACAGTAAAGCTCAATCAATGCACACATTAACATTCTACACACCCCAATATTCTCCCTACTCTTTTCCTTCTCCTTGAGCAAATGAGAAAACATGCACTTTGGGTCGAAATTGCTCAAACGAAGATTTGGACAATGATTTAGTAAACCATCCGTTCTAGTTGAATCAAAAGTGCGATGCCTCCTTCCGTTCGACTTGAATCAGAAGTGTATGCTTCCTCCTGTTCTACTTGAATCGAAAGTGTGATGCCTCATTCCGTTAAACTTGAATCGAAAATGTGATGACTCCTTCCGTTCGACTTGAATTGAAATTTGATGTTTCCTTCAGTTCGACTTGAATCGATGCAAACTTTTGATGTGAATGGACATTAAAAAAATTCTAAAAAATATATATTCTATAACAATGTGCAACAACCCAAACACCAACAACATCATTGAAACATTTGGTCGAATAGATTGGAAGCATGAACATACGAACCGTGGTTAGGATCAACCGCTTTTCCTTGAGCAAGATTGACACTCATCGAAAGTGTCTCAACTTGAGTATCAAACCCAGCAAGTTGGGTTTCGACATCAACAAGCATAGGACATAAGCTTTCCAGGGAAAGTGATTCCCTCATGGCAATTATAACAGCCACAAATGGCTGGTATTCACACGACAACCCTTCAAAATACTGACCTCATGCTCCATCGACGGAATCGGACTTCCACAGGAGGCAAGAGTATCGTACACCTCTTTAATTCGAGTAAGGTAAACCCGCATTGTATCACTACCCTTCTTGAGCGATTAAAGTTTATAATGGAGGCTCATTACTGTCATTGTCGAGCGGTTTACAAAGAATTGCAACACCGCACTCCAGACGGCCTCAAATTTCTTAGTTTTTCCTAACACTATCTCAATCTTAGCTTTCTCAATCTGTCGACCTTTCGATCCTCATGGGTGCTGAGCACAGTCGATGTCGTTATTCCTTTTTAGATTGCAAATCCATTTTGCTTCTGGATCTCAGCTATGGTGACAACAGTAGGAATAACCATTCCTAAGCCGTAAAGTTCAACCTCGTTGAACTCATTGATGTACCTTTTGGCATTCAGATAGAAGACGAAGGGCTTCTTGGTGATGGAGACTTGCACCTCCTTCTTCTGTTTCTTTTTCTTATCGTTCTTCATGCTCTTGGTCTCTTGGACTGACTCGACAGTTTCCGCTGGAGAAATGGTGAAAGCAACCTCAGCATGGTGATCGGTTGTGACAACTACAACAACGATAATCGATTCCTTGCCGTCCTCTAAGTTGAAGTCATCAACGGAGATGATGGTCTCCTCGATCTTGGCTTCTTATTTGCCCTTAGGGCTCTATGATTCAACTCGTTCAACTGCAATGCTCAACTCCATGAGTGAAGAAACAGAAAGAAAGAAAATCTATAAGCGTGAAAACAAAATGCCCAGAACCTTGGCGAAAGATACCATGTTGAGAAGTTGATTAAGAAGAAATGAATAGCATCTGGTTTTATTATTTCTTATTTGTAACTACAACACAACTAGCTTATATAGTAGTCATGACTTCAAGCTTACTCGATCTCACAACTACCTGTAACAACATCCATAGCAAACTTCATATGTCACTATTCTTAACAACCATAACAACTCACACACACACAGTAAAGCTCACTCAATGCACACATTAGCATTCTACACACTCCAATATAGTGCGAGATGATTTGAGCAATATACATGCACGAGTCTTATATTCAATAGGTTAATCGTAGATAAAATTAATTATATAATATGATGAACTATTATGTAATTTGATAAATAATTGAATGATATTGTCCTCTCTCATTTAAGATTCAAATCTTACCACTAATGCGACGTCCAAAATACATGGTTTGTCTCCTTTGTGCCTCAAAATTGTTACTATTATTTATACCATGAACGATGAAATGTGACGAAACCCCAAAGATTTTTAAAAGTAATATTTTATTCAAATCATATTTATTAAAAAGTTGTTAAAATTTATTTATTTAAAAGACTGATTCAACTTAATCTCGAATATAATCAACGATTAAACCATTAAAAAAATTGGGCTATTTTTCTTAAATAATGCATGAAATCCCTTCACTGAGCCTCTCATCTTTTTTATACAAGGAAATCCATTTGTAAATAGTGCTTTCTACACCATTTTTGGTAGTTCACGAGTCAAAACGGGAACTCTGTATCTTTTTAACTTATTCTCACTTTATGCTTGCCATGCCCGTTCGCAAAACCAGACTAGGTACACGTGTTTGGCTCCCTAATATTTTAGATTTTCATATTTATTTCTGGAATATTATATTTTTAATGTTCATTTAAATAATTATAATCAATCATTATAATGTATAATTAAAATATATTTAAGCAATATATAAACTGATATAAAGTTGAACTAAAAAATTTAGATTTTTTTAAATGTTTAAATCATTTAAAAAATAATTTTAGATAGGATTGTTTCAATGATTAGGAGAAATATATTGAATTGACTCATGCTGAATAGCTTTAGTCTTTCAGATCACGGACCTCTTTTCCTTTGAACTTCATTATTATCTTTTGGTTATGCATCCCAAGCCATTGCTTTATTTCCTTATCATACATGAAGAGATTAATTCGATTGGATTGAGAATTTAATTTTTTGGACTCCTTAATTATATAGGCTGAATTATGAAATTAAAGTATATAAAATATTTTTAAAAAATAATTGATCTAAAAGAAAAAAAGGAAGGTAATTATGTAAAGGTTAGGCTGATTCTTCAAATGTTTATTTGATAAACAATCTTCTTCAGATTTGATTATAATTTTTTTATTAGTCTAGAGTGAATGTAAATAGTATCTTGTTAAATACTCAATCATTTGACATTGAACGTGTATATATCTTTGTATACGTATTGTTCAAATTTAAAATCTCAAAGAATAATAATAATTGTCATTTTATTTGTGTTTCTTTAATTAGTAAAAAATATTTTTTCAATTATTTGGGGAACTAGAAATGTTTTTTTGGTGAAAGAGTCGGTTGTTTTCTTCGGTGACAAGTCGTCGTTGACGTCTCTTGTTGGATAGTTTCCTTTTTTTTTCAAAATTGAAATCCATCAACGATTAGAAACACATTTAGTCACAAGTCGTCAACTACAGCACACACCTCCTACTTTAATAGAAACTCTCTTACAGACGCGCAGATGTCCCAAAGATTTTTATTTTATTTTTATCGGTAATCAAAAAATTTATTCTCTTACAAGCAGCATTGACGGAGGACATATATATCAATTAACGACTTCATCCAATATTGTTTAAACATTTTTAATCCCCTAAATAACTAACCTTCATTCTCACCCCTAATCTCTTCTTGACTAAAGTATACAAATAGTCTCCCGACTATAGAATATTATTCTGTTAAGTCATCTAATTATTAAAAGTTATAAAATGATTATCGATTATAAGGCGTTACTTTGTTGAATTCATCGACTGTTAAAAGTTACAAAATGATCACCCGACTATTCATTATGTTCCAACCTTATCTTTTTCCATTAAAAAATTTGACGGCATTCTGAGCTGGACGCTAACCTGTTGATTGAGATATGATAAAATCTAATTTCATAATCTCAAATTACTATCATATCTCAATCAACATGTTAACATCAAACTCAGACAACAGTTAATTTTTTAACGAAAAATTATGAGTTTGGAATATAATGAATCATTTTGTAACTTTTAATAGTCAAGAGATTCAACAAAGCAACATCCTATAATTAAGGGACTATTTTATAACTTTTAATAGTTGAGAGACTTAAAAAGTAATATCATATAGTTAGGGAGCATTTATGTACTTTACCCTTTTTCCTCATCATATATTATTCATTAATTTAACTAAAAAATATTAAATGTAAATCTCTCTTCCAATTGTTTTCTTCTTCTTCTAATTTGGGCCATAAACATTGCCAAAATGACTCAACCTTTGAACTATGGATTTAAATTTAATGGGCCCAATCAATGGTATAGTTTCGAAAGAAAAAGAAGAGAAACAGTTAGCCCTAGACACTTGGTTCCCCTCGCTATATCTCGCACGTGAGAAGCAGCTGATGAAGAAAAGCGGAAACAGACGCGCCGCAACGAATCAATTACCATAAAAATATATATTCTTTCATTTAAACCATTCGATCACTCTCCACGTCGTTAATCCGCGTGAATACCCATTTCAACGGCTGAGATCCCCGTTGCGGAAGCTACCGGTAGAGAGAGCAAACAAGCTTCCCCCTCCCTCTCTTCCAAATTTCTGATTTTTTTCCCGAGAAAAAAAAAGAGGGAAGCTTTTTCATTCGATTTTTCTTTTTTCTAAATATGAAGTTGTTGGAAGAGCAGAGAGAATTCGAGGATGAAAACGAAATTAAGACTGTGGAGGAAGAAGAGGCTGTGCGTGAAGATGAAAGTGAAGTAGACGGCGGCGAAGAGGAGGAAGAAGACGATGATGACGACGGCGAATATGAAGAAGACGACGAAGACGAAGGAGAGAATGATGAAGATGATGAAGTGCAGGGTTATTCAATCTTCCGGCGGTCCTCCGGTGCAATCAGTTGATGACGACGAGGACGAGAACGATGAGGACGAAGACGAAGATGGTGAAGGCGGCGGAGACGACGAGGAAGTTGAAGAAGAAGAGGAGGTAAATTCTTTTAATCTAACTTGATTACAGTTAATTATTGTGTTTTATTTGAATATTTTTGAATTTTCGAGTCTTTTTCAGCTGAAAATTTTAAGATCTATTGTGTTTCGTACGTATCTTTCGCTAATTGTTTGATTGGAAGATGTAAACTCTATTAATCTACTTTAATACCTTTTAATCATTGTGATTATTTGAAAATTCTCTGTATTTTCAAGTCTTTTCCAGCTGAAACTGTTCAGATCCTTTGTTTTTCTTACTCTTTTCTTTTTTCATTATAGTTTATTTCTTTCATTAATTCGAGGTTAAACTTCAAAATTTTAAGGCCTTTTTATTATAATAAAAAAAACAAGTTTAATTGTTCATCAATTAAACTATTTCTGGAAGGATATTAGCTGATTCTTTAGTTTTCCTCTCAGATCTATTTTCTAAATCGCACTTTATCTTTAATTATTATAGTTACTTAATCACCTTAGTTTTCCATAGCCAAGATCACGTAGCTGATGGCCGGCTAAACTCACGATATAATGCACGAAAAATAAATAATTCACGAAATAACGTTCTCGCAAGATTATTTGCTGAAATAGGGCGAAATCAACAGTGTGGCCGTAGGTCGCCATGCCTTCCGGCCGACCTACGACGTGGCTTCCGACGTGGCTTCCGACGAGGGTCGTGTTCATTCCAGGTCGTGTGTATGGGAATGATCGTGTGCATGGGACATGCACAACCCAACCATAGGTAGCCATGCACGCCCGACGACATCCCCTGCTGCATGCTCGCCTGCTCGCGACCTTGTCTTTGGCCCTTACTCCACGCTGCATGGTCGCCTGCTCGCTGCATTATTGCTCGCCTGCTCTCGCTGCTCGATGTATTATTGCAGCATAATTTTTGCTGCTTCATGCAGCAATTATTGCTGCAATCCACGAGAATCAACGGCTCGTGATTCTTCAATTATTGGTGCATGACGTGATTCTTCAATTATTGGTGCATGGCAGCCGACCCTTTAATATATAGAGGGTATGATATGGGGTTAAGGAAGCATAAGAAAGAAAGGGAGAAGAGTATCGAGAGAAAGGAAAGGAAGAAGAGGAAGAAGAAGAAAGGGAGTCCGGCAAGCAAACATCGAGGTAAATTTTCATTTTATTTTATTTAAATTAGTTTATTATTTTAAATTATTAGTTTGTTAGTTTAGGGTTAGGGTTAGTTTAGGGTTAGGGTAAAACATTTACTTAATTAGTTAGTTTGTAGTTAGTTATATATAAAAATATGTAATTAGTTTGTGTTACTTAAATAGTTAAGTTGCCATATGATTTGTTGAATTTATTTTATATAAAAAATTTAGTTAATTAGGTTTTTTAGTAGTGAATTATAATTAAAAAATATTTTATTAGTTTAAGTTATATTAAAGAATAGTTTATTAGTTGAAGTTATATTAAAGAATAGTTTATTAGTTGTTTAAAGAAAATTCACGTTTAAGTTATATTTTAAAAAATTTAGTTTGTTACTTTATAAGTTTATTATATTATAAGTTATTATATTAAATTTTTTTGTTGGGTTGTAAATTAGTTAGTTAGTTACTTAACACTAAATTATATTAAATGATTTTTTAAATGTTGTTTAATTTTTTTTACAGATTCATTCCAATGGCTGACCAAATTCCACTGCTGAGACTTGACAATGAACATATTTCAAGTCATTTGGGAATAATGATGAAAAAATATTTGTTTAATGAATTATAATTAATAAATATTTGAATATTATTTTATGGTGATTGTGATAAATGTTTTATATTATTTAATTGTAGGAGGACGAGCAACGAGTCCTTCGTCTTTGGCTACATAAAGTGCCCAAGCCACACAGATTGATAAAAGAAAACTTGCAGGAGGCTGGATTTTGGTATGTAACATTTGTGCAAGATTACAAGTTGGTCACAGGTTTGATCAGTGCCTTGATTGAGCGTTGGAGACCAGAAACGCACACGTTTCATTTGCCGTGTGACGAATATACGATAACTCTGGAGGATGTGGCATTGCAACTCGGGGTCCAAACAAATGGGATGCCAGTGGTAATGTCACATGAGTTTAATAATGTGGCATAACTTTGTAGCTTGTTTCTTGGGAAAACGCCCGTACCACCAGAGTGTAAAGGGTGGCGTGTGAGGTTGTCATGGTTGAAGAATGAATTTCAGCTTCAACCAAATAGTACGGAGCACGAAATTATATATGCAATACGAGCATATATATTACAGTTGATTGGGGGTATTTTAATGCCGGATAAATCCGGTAGTTATGTTCACACTCAATATCTTCTTTTTTTAAGAAATTTTGAGAATAGTAGGCAATATAGCTGGGGATCGGCGATATTGGCGTTCTTGTATCGTGAGATGTGCAAGGCGTCATTAGTCGTGAATGATAATAATACAGCAGAAATCGGTGGATGTCTGTTGCTGCTACAGTCATGGGCTTGGCATAGACTTCTGTTTCTGACACCGATTAGTCGGACTGCGGTTGACTTTCCGCTTGCCGGAAGGTAATATGAATTCTCTATTTTAATATAAAATATTAATTATAAAAAAAATGACCATATTTTTGTTTTGATTGATATACAGATGGAGGCATAAAATTGAAGGCACGGGGTTGGTGCACAACAACATTAAAGAGTTCAGGCTGAAGATCGACATTAAGGCAAAAAAGGAGGTATGTATAATCTGTTATTTTTAATTATTATTTAAATTAACTATATTATTTGATTTAAATAAATTTTATTGTTTTTGTAATTTTACAGTTTAATTGGAGACCATACATGAATGAAGAAATACTTGCGTTGATACCGCACGATATTTTAGATGGGTTTCAATATTGGTGTGATGTTACACCATTGATCAATTTTGCGTTTGTTGAGATCCAATTTGGGGATAGAGTGTTGAGGCAATTCCACTTCCACCAACCTATTCCGCGGAGTCCATGGGATCATGACCTCCTCCAAATCTTAGATGGTCGTCGTCAGGTGAATTAGGTTGAGATGCATGACCAGCTGCACAGATTTGATGGTCGTCGTAAAGAAAATGTTAATTGGGTTGAGAAGCATGCAACCTACATTAATGCTTGGAACAATAGGGCTTCATTCATGCCAACTCTTGACGACATTCAAGACGACGACTTTAATTTTGAGACTTCGGCTTACCTTGCTTATTTTTTGGATAATGGAAAGCCATTCTTGACAACAATTATGGAGAGGTGACAATTTTTGAGGTTTAAGAAAAGATTTGGTAAAGCTGAATACTCTCTACCAAGTGGGAGTGGGAGTTCATCTCAACAACCTGAAGCGGAAATGACCGATGTGGATAATAGCGCACCACAACCGTTCGGCGATGCATACATACCAGAGTTTGTGCAGCCTGATGCATCCATCTACTCTCCCATGTTTTCGTCGACGTATGACTTTGAACACATGTCAGTTCAAATGCCCCCAAAGAATGAGGAGGATGGGTACCATACTCCTGAGCAACTGCAACGGCCACAACGCATTAGACGTCCGCCCCAACATTATCATTCAACAACTCCCCGACATCGGCAACAATTGTAAACTAGTTTGTTATTTGTTACAAATTTAATATTGAAATTAGACTAGTTTTTTCAAACCTTAACAAATTCGACATATTTATAATAAATCATTACTATCAAATCATTACTAAATTATTACTATCAAATCATTAAAAATTAATAATAATTTAATTATTACTAATCATTACTATCAAATCATTAAATATTAATAACAATTTCATTATTACTAATCATTACTAAATCATTACTATCAAATCATTAAATATTAATAACAATTTCATTATTATTAAATCATTACTATCAAATCATTAAAAATTAATAATAATTTCATTATTACTAATCATTACTAAATCATTACTATCAAATCATTAAAAAATAATAATAATTTCATTATTACTAAATCATTACTATCAAATCATTAAATATTAATAATAATTTCATTATTACTAATCATTACTAAATCATTACTATCAAATCATTAAATATTAATAACAATTTCATTATTACTAATCATTACTATCAAATCATTAAATATTAATAACAATTTCATTATTACTAATCATTATTAAATCATTACTATCAAATCATTAAAAATTAATAATAATTTCATTATTACTAATCATTGCTAAATCATTACTATCAAATCATTAAAAATTAATAATAATTTCATTATTACTAATCATTACTATCAAATCATTAAAAATTAATAATAATTTCATTATTACTAATCATTACTATCAAATCATTAAAAATTAATAATAATTTCATTATTACTAATCATTACTAAATCATTAATATCAAATCATTAAATATTAATAATAATTTCATCATTACTAATCATTACTAAATCTTATAAATACATAGAAATTCATAGAAATACATATATCATTACTAATGATGAGGCAAACTCCATCGGATATAAAGCAAACTCCATCTTCACGAACGACATATTGACGTAGATTGGTCAGAAAGAAATCCCAAGCCTCTGTTGTCTCTCCCTCAACAATGGCGAATGCAATTGGGAAGATATTTCGCTCACCATCTTGAGCAACTGCCATCATAAGTACATGCCTATATTGATCATACAGCCACGTACCATCTACTTGGATCATACGTTTGCAAAATGGAAATCCTTCAATACATGCCTTGAATGCCCAAAATAGTCTATGAAATATTTTCTTCCCTCGCAGAAGTTGACCTTCTTCGTCATATGCGGGCATGGTTTGAGACTTCACTATGGTTCCTGGGATAAATCGCTTCATTGCTTGTAGCAAATGTGGTAGCTCATTGTACGATGTATCCCAATCTCCATACGTCAGCTTCATTGCCTTCATCTTCGCATTCCACACCTTGCCATATTTTACTTGATATCCAAATTGGCTTCGAATAGATGCAGCTAACACTGAACAAGATATCC